CAGGAGGCAGAGGTTACAGTTAGCCAAGATTATGCCACTGCACTCCAGTCTAGGCAACAAGAGTGAAACTCCATCTAAAAACAAAACAAAAAAGAAAAGAAATGTGTTGGTGAGAGTGAAGTAGGAGAAAATGAGTTTATTTTTTTCTCCTCAGTATTCTCAGGATTAGAACAATGTTTTTTAAAGTGTAAGCATCAGCTGGGAAATTGTTCAGAATGCAAATTCTCAGGCCCTATCCAAGATCTACTGAATCAGAAACTCAGGAAAATAGAGTCCAGTAATCTGTATTTAACAAACTCTGCAGGTGAATTTGATGCATGTTAAAGTTTGAGGACCACTGAATTAGAACAAGGGACTTGATAGGAACTTATGATATACCTGGTGAGAAATGTTAAGTTTATTAGCCCAAGTATTGGTTATAATCATGGAGAAACAGGCACAGACAGACTCAAGTAAGTGTTTCAGATGGCAAGTCAGCATGGGAGGAACACTAAGGAATGTCATCATCACTTTGAGAGAGAGGCGGTGGTGGTGCTTGATAGACGTGCAACAGTGACCGGTGGCTTTGAAAATGAATCAGACAGACAGAATGAGATGCCAGGAGGAGCAAGCCAAGCGTAGTCTAGTAACCAGAACCCCAAGGACATCAGTGTCTCCTGCCCTGACTCCACACATGGCTGGCCATGAAAAGTGAAATCTTACCTAAGAAAGGTGTCCCCAGATGATGTTCCTGGCTCATCTCGCAAGCCAACAGAAGCCTCAAACTTCAGATTCATACTTATTCACTAACATACCTTTTAGTTATCTAAACAATGCTGGATCTAAACAATCATACATTAGCAAAATAATTTTGTTCTGAGCAGCATGTGCCTACACCTCATGGTATGAATTGTGCTTGGATAAGTCAACCATAGCAACTCTGTTTCCCTTTGCCTCTGATGAGGATGAGCAGGTGACATATTTGTAGCTAATGAAGTGGAAAGGCAGGTGAATCAGCTAGGGGCTCCTGGGAAAGATTTTCTTCCTTCTCTACAGAGTAAAATACCCTTTTGCCACTTCTCTATTCTTTTGGATGATGTCATATGAGGGAGTGGTGCTTGAATGAAGGGACAAATGAGAATGGAAAGCAACACATAGAGGATGGAAGAATAAGTGATTAAAATAAACTTGTTCTGAACCAAATTTGGGTTAGTCTACATCTTGTCTTAAAACCACTCTTGGGTTTTTAGTTACTTACAGCCAAAAGCACTCCTGACGACTCATCTTTCTCTAGGAAACTACTAAAACTAACATTAGCCTGCCTCTAAGCCCTGCTTATTATGCCTGGCCTCTAGATTTTTCAGCCTCACTGGAAAACTGATACCCACTCTGCTTTGTACTTCGAATCTGGCCCTATCTCCTCCTACTCTTATCTCTGTACCCACTGGCATCCAACTTCTGTGAAGGGCAGACTCCTTCGCACTCTCAAACTCTTCATCATCTTCTCCAACTGACACCTAGTTATCCCCAAAGTCTGTTTCTTCTGTAGTATTTCGAGTCTGGCACAATCCCCATGGGATAGGCATCTTCCTCACTCTCTACTGTTATTCCCATTAAAGGCTGTTTGTTTCCTAACAATCACAGCTCTGTGAGGTGTAGTACATGGGCTTAGACTTTGCCACCCATCTCCACCCTGAGTTTTCATCTTCTATCAGATTCTCCGATACTGCACATTCTCTGGTAACTTCAGCACTGGCTTACTCTTCTCCCCACCATTTTTCCTGTTGTTATTCTTGATGAGTTCGATACATTATTTCCATTCAACACGTGGGCCTGGTATTTCTTAGATGCTTCAAATCCAACAATGTTGTCCTCCATCCCCCTGTAATAGGGGGAGGAGGAGAATCAATGGGATATGGCCAGGAAGTGTCTGTCTAGATTACTAAATCCAGCTCTCCCTTGAACTAGAGCATGACATCTTCATAGTCCACTAATATTTATGGAGAAATCAACTCTAATAGTCTCTGTATTCACTAATGGCCGACCCTAGTAAAGATAACTGGGTACAAGTTGGTTTTGTTATTGGCTGAGGGACAAGATACCCTGGTGAGAAGTATCACTGAAAAAAATTGATAGCAGCCTTCATAAATGTCATCATAAAATGCCATTCAAAACAAATATAAAAAGTTACTGGCATCTTGAGTGCTTCAAATTATATTACCAGATTAAATAGAAGGTACAATGACATGTTCTCTGTGAAAGAACAAAATAATTAGCCAAAGCTATTTAACCATTAACTAAATATATGAAAAAAGATCCTATTAATCTATTAACCACACCAGAATGTGTTTTTTTGTGGTCAAAACACATCCATATACCCCAGCACAGTGGGTCCTTTTCATACATGTGGGCATTCTGTACAATCATCAAAGTTGTCAGTGAGCATTTAAATCAGCAGAGGTTAAGAAGGGACAGATTAGTAAGAAATTGTGGCAATGTGCCTTTTTATGGAGACGTTGATAGAATCTTAAGTTTTCCAAAGAATAAGTGAATACCCAGAAGACAAGTTCAGATATGCCAAGGCATCTCAAGACAAAGGCTGAATACTGATCTTGGGTGTTGGTGTCTCTTTGGTAACTATGGTGAAGTTGGATGAGCTTTAAACACTATGTGTTGGAAATTCCCTGAGAATGAATCAGTGATGAATCCCTTGCCTTTGGTGAAATCTGGGCTGAAATATTTCAAAGTCAGAATTGGAAATCCATGCTTCAAGACTTCAGTAATAAAATTTCAGCTAGAGTTGATGAAAAGAAAGAACAATCCCTAGCCTCTCATTTCAAAAAAAAAAAAAAAAAAAAAAAGGAAGAAACATAGGTATATAGGTACCATGCAACAGATATAAAGGCCAGTATGTCTCAAGAGCAAACCAGATTTCCTAAGAGAATTGAATGTGCTAGTAGCAGATGGGTTCTGTTTCAGTTTATTCTCACTTAGCCATGTCTGGGAATAGTTAAGTTGCACAACTTTGTGGACAAAGTGCTGCAGAAAATAAAAATATATTTGTTGCCATTTAAGAGAAAGATATGAACAAGCATAAAGTGATCTTTATAGACAGTAATGATACTTGTGATGTTAGCATCTAAAATTGTATGCAGAATTAATTACTTTAGATAAGGTAGCAGGTATCCAAGCTCCAAAAGATACTTTTGCATGGTTGAAGAAGGGATCATGCAGAAGGACTACATATGTATGCCTGGTATGCACATATGCATGTGTGTGTGGTGGAGCGAAATGGCAAGGTGGCATGCAAAGAGAAGTACTATTGGCCAAACAGGAGCTGAAAAGAAAAAAAGTCAACTTATTCTGGGTATGTGTCAGAGAAAACTGCTACTCCCACTATGACAGAAATAATTTCAGACTGAGGGAAAAAGGCCTTATGGCCTGCTAGTAGGAAGAATGAATCTACCATTATTCCCCATTTTCTTCCTGTCTGATGATATGTTTTCATGAAAAAATTCTTTAAATATTTTTTACATATAAAGATACCAAACAGTTGCAACTCAAGTATAAAGGAAGGTGTCTCAGATCCAGCTGAATAGAAAATAAGGTTCTCCCAAATTTTAATTAAAATTACACGTTCCCTTTCTTTAAAAAGGAAAAAAAAACTTCTGCGTGACCAAAAACAACTTAAAAGTTCTGATTATTTGAAGTTTCATAAACCTTATCTTTTCTCCATAATGAAAAGTCTAGTTTCTGTTTGGTCCTGTCAGAGGCAGCCTTTATTTTCATTTGGGTAATTTTTATCCTTGGAGACATCGCCCCCTGCTGTAATATGTGCTTAGTTGCAGAAGCATTTTTCACTCAAAAAGGATATGATCAAAATGATGCAATGATTATTAAAGTGAAAGAAACTTTATTTTGAATAATATATGTATCATTCATTTCATTTAATGTTCATAGTGCATAGCTATGTTTAGAAGTACACAGGGAAAAATAAACATTAGAAATACCTAAGCATGGAAGTGCATAAGTGAAGACATTTGATATATCCATGGATAGGCTTA